AATTTTTTGCCCCCCCCCCCCCCCCTGGAAAGTTAATCGATTTTTTTTGCCCCCCCCCCCCTCTAGAAAGTTTTCTGCGGGCGCCCATGGATGCTTCCACACGTATCAACCAGCTAAGAGTTAAGAGAATAGTCTGATAGATAGATTTGGATTGAGGGGGGCAGTAATGAAGGTCATTTTCGCCCATGTCAGCGTAGGGCGAGACAACATTTCGGCGCACTTATACTTAACTCATATACTGGCCTGGTGTGCGTTCTGCATGTTTTGTAGCTTCCGTGACCAAGTGGCGGCTGTGTCACAAACTCTAGCTACTCCACTGGACATGACAAAACGTTTATCACATGGCTTTCTTTAAACATACATTCAACGCCAGCTTCCGATATATCTTAACACTACTGAGATGTCTTTTCATTTCCATTTTGGTTTTTCTCAGATATAAAGTCAGTGCATTTTACTTTTACCTTTCCACGCGTTAAAGAATAAATTGCTTCCTTTTAAATTTTCTTGGCAATTTTTGTTCCGTAATAAGCCAAAGACTATGTTGTGTCCATGAGCGCCCGCAGAAAACTTTCGGGGGGGGGGGGGGGCAAAAAAAACATTAAACTTTCCGGGGGGGGGGGGGGAAATATTTTTTGGGGGGGGGGGCAAAATTTTTTTAATAATGTTTTAATATCGTTTTAATTTACTGTAGCGTATTTGTATGGTGAACGAACGGACGGGACATTTCTTAGTTACTTTGTCTTTACTTTAATACATTTTTTGTCTATTTTTGTCTACATTTTTTTATCCAATCAATCAAGTGGGGGGGGGGGCAAGTGCCCCCCTTGTCCCTACCTGGGGGCGCCCATGGTTGTGTCACATTTCCCCATTTAGCTCAAACTTCAAGCCTGAAGGTCCAGCTTTTGCTGGCCATTACACGCATTCTCCAGTTTTCTTCTTACTTTTCAAAGAAATTAACTCCATACCTTGCTGCCATACCCAAGTGGATTGTTCACGAATGTTACCACATAACTGATACATGGATCTGTAAGATAGACAACATACAAAATAAAATCATTTCTTGACTGTGTGCCAAGCTGTGTGATTGTTCAATAAACCATCCTGCATTGAGGACTGACATCCCCCCCACACCCCTCCCCCCACTTGCCTGGGGGATGTCACTTGTGTAGTTCTCACAAATTCCTTTCAATCTGTTTAAAATTATTTTTTTTTATGTTACAATTTGAAAATATATATTAGTAAGAATATTTTTTTATCAATTAAAAATATTTTGACTTTTTACTTTAAGGAAAACACTCATTTATAGTACCGGTACAGATTCGTGAAGAATTACAAACACAAAAAATGGTAACAATCTTAAAAAAAATAATAATAAATAAAACGCACACTACTCTTTAATTGGTTTACATCAATATTTACTCAAATTAAAATTAATCAGCATGATCAGATGTCCATTTATTTGAATATTGTTGACCTGTAAAACTTCAGCTCTTCTACACTTTCCATGATGTCATCTAAAGCTCTGAAAATATTCATAAAAATTAAATATTGAAATTAAATGACTTTTGGATCACATGGATTTAGAAATAAGGCATCAGTTTTTTTTGCTTCATCCTCATCAGTGGCGCTACAGCCCATGTAGGGCCCTGACGCCTGCTCCACCACATCCTTCCATTTGGATTGAAATTTGGCTTTACACCTTCATGTTTTGTCTTTATTCGGTAATATAAATATCATTTCATGTGATGAAGATGAAGGCGAATAGTACATTTTTTAATTAAATGTGCCCAAAATGAGTTATTCCACGCTTCCATATGAATAAAAATTATAAGAAGTAATATTCAAATATTAGTTTATAAAGTCCAATACATGAAAACAGACTACACTAATAATAATGATGTGTCATTTGTAAACAGGGAAGTGCAGAGGATTTTTGGGCCCAGAGAAAATCCTAAATTTGGCCCCTTAAAATACCAAAATAATTGTATCAAACGCATCAATTTCCGTTCTTATGGGTTCCAAAGTGGGCAGGGCCCTCATTGATTTACTCGGCTGCCTCAGCCTCTGCACAGCCCTGGTTGTCAAACTCAAACGATTTTTTGAAATGGTACAATGCCTTATTGTGAGTGCTCACTATTTTATGTAGGGTATTGTCATGTGAAGAAAGCTTCCAGCCCCAAATGGTCTTGGACTGGATTTTATACTGTTGACTAATAACTTAACATGACTCATAGCTAGATACACCAAGCAAGGGGTAATTGTAATAAAAGTTACATACAAGAGTTAAGTTGTGCTCAAGACACATGAGTAATAAGCAGTGGTCAAGTGAGGTAAGGTGGACTGTAAACCCTTCACCGATTTAAAATGTTCAATTCATCTGTCGCCACATGTAGAGCAAGTACACATATAGAAACAATCCTGCCTTGAAAAAAGATCACCGCCTCTAAAAACACAGGCTATATGGGTCACTTTCCTTGTTGCGCCCTTGTACCAATTCCTGTAGACTACATGTCTATACAACAAGCTAAGAATGTGAGTCTCTGTCTTTAACTGTCTAAGATTTTGGCCAAAACGTCCACTTTCTGTTATTGTCCTTCTTAAGGTTTTCCCCTAACCTTTGTCTATGTCTTAATAAATTATAACACATTATCTGTTACACATAGCAAAGCATAAATTTGATCCAGTAGAAAAAGAGTTATAATAAATGCTAAACTTTCTCTATTAGGCATAATGAATAACTGACCTGTGACTCAATTTTTTGTCTGGTGCCTTCTCAAGTATGCCTGGGTACCATCGCCTTTGTAAGACAATTTGAAACCAATGTTAAATTTGGGTAAGGAAAACTTTTTTTAAAACTTATATTGAAACACATCAGGAACTATAACATTTACGAAAGCACTATCAGGTGCAAACACACTTAAATGAGTACAGACTGCACGGAAAATAATTATAATTTAGCCATTTAAGAAGTAAAAGATTAGATAAATGAGGCAAGCACAATTCAATAAGCACAAGAGTCAAAGCATTAAAACCCGACACAAACCACAACTTTATAACTGCTTAAGAACATTTATATTATTTAAACCAGCAACAAAATTCTAACATTTGTGCAGTGGTTGAAGTGAACTTAACTGCCTGTAAAAGTGTCAGAGCTACTAAGCCTCATCAAATGGAAATTATTCCTCAATGGCCCAGTTATGAAAGTAAGTGTCCTTGAGCTTAGCGCCCCTTTCAGAAAAGACATTGTGCAGCACTACATGGTGGACTTATAAAAAAATTATCAGGATTTAAACAATAGAGTGGACAGAAAGCACTTTAAATTAGAAGAGCAGTAATACAAAATTCAGAAGAAAAATTATTAAATTCCTTCCATCAAGGCTAACTCACCTGCATAATTCTTTAATTGAACTAACATCAATAATCCTGTAATGAAAGTGTTCAGCCAGTTTGGGCATGTACTTGGCAATAAACTGTTTATCAATCCCTACAGAGCTACCACCTAAAGGACACTGTCCTTTCTCCGTGTGCAGCTTCAAAAAGTCAAGCACCATTTGCTCAGCTCGATCTGTGGTTATATGGCTTTTCTTAACAGCTTCTGTAAGGCCAGACTGGAAAAGGAATGCAGCCTAGATTAAACTGAACTCTTAGGCTGGGAATTCCCAACCCACACACAGCAAATGCTGACAACATTCAACAGTCAAACAAATGTCAGAGCAGATAAACATTGACAGATATAATTAAGTTTACGAGGCTAACATTTCTGTGGTTAGATGAGTGATTAGCTGAGATGCTACTATATTCATTAGTGATTTAGACCTACTTCATGATGGAAGGCATTCCTATATTGTTCCTGACATTGATTTTTTGTTATTCAAGTCAATCAGGGCCAGCAATGTTCACAATGAAAGCATAATTACTTCCAGTATTCTTTCACAATGAACTTCCGCCCAGTAGATGTTTATATTTGTATACATTTTTCACAATTTATGCATAGCAGTCATTTTATTTGACAAAATCGTTTGTTGCGCCCACAGAAATAACAGACAACAAATTTTAGAATAGTCATAAAATTTTATTTTCTTACTTTAGGTCCAAATCTAAATAATTATTAGCCCTTTTAAGGAATAAACTTCTTTAAATTACTGTATCATAGCATCAGAATACTAAAGCTTGATTCATTTTTGGGCTCTTTCTTGAACTAGTTATATATTAGGTTTAAAATCTTAAATATAAAAAAAAAACACTACATAGATTTTTTTCTCCTTCCATTTCTGTCTAAACAGTCTGCAAAATAATTTTTTCGTACTTTCACTGTAAAAATAACCGAGCTAGTGTGATATGACAGTGTTGTATTTACCTGTCCATGTTGCTGTACACACCACTCATCCATATTGTTGAGGAGAGAATCACTTTGATGAATGACAATATTGAGACCCTGATAAAATTTTTAAAAAATCAAAATTTATACAAATGTTAAACTTGATTTTGAACTCACCCAATGAAATTATCTAAAGTGAAAGCTTATGATAGATTAAATAGGAAATATGCAATCTAATGAAAATTTGTGTCTCCTTACTTTATTTACAAGAATGGTTGAAAATTGTTAAGAATTTGAAATGATTTTGCATTAGCTTATAAAATTTGGAGATATCGTATTAAGCAAATTATCATTGCAAAGATAGAATTCGCATCATTAAACATGAGATTCTAAAGATGTGTAGGTTCTTAAGAGTTATTGTAGTCATGATGAAGGCTCAACTGCAATAAAAATCACAATTACTGAAAATGAACAATAGCAGGCTAATGAAGAAGTAAATTTTGCCGAGACGTCCAAACTACTACAAATGTCTTGTAATGTACTCCTGAAGCCTGGCAATAAAAACTTAGGGGTAGTTGACCAAGGCTACCAACTCAAGAGATATCAGAGTGCTTTAACATTTCCTTATGACAAGTTAGCATGTAAACAATCCACGTATGACCTTTTTGAGTCAACAAACTGTTTTGGACACACTTGAAAGACATCTGGTTGTACTGACTGACTAAATACCCTTGGTTGTTTTGTCTCTGGCCAAATGTTGAGATCAAGTTCATTACCAGATTAAGATGAAGGCGCACATTTTAATTTCTGATCAAATTTTTTTCCCCCCATTTCTATTATTGTTACAAAAAGGCACATAGAGCACTCGCATATCATAATTTTTATGAAATTCAGATTTTCTATGTTTTTTTTGTCATATTGCTACAAATTACAAAACAAAACAGACTTCAGTAAAAATAATACAAGCAAACTAATACTGAATAACTTCAGGAAAATAAAAAGCATAAATCTAAATGCTGTGTAAGTGATCAACTCTTTGAAATTGGGGTAAATGGTGAAATTATTTCATGCTACATAAACATATTGGGGTAAATATATCAAATTATAAAATATACATAAAATTAATGCAAGCAAAATAAACTAATGAAATTATCTTTAAATCTAAAACAGTTGCATTTTTCTGAGTACCCGAGCTCAAGGTTACATTTCTCACACTTAAATATTTAAATATCCCTTACAGATCTTGGGACATTAACTAACAACAATGTCCCAATACAAGACCCATCCTGGAGAAAAATTTTAATGGATTCTATTAAAATTAGAAGATAAAACTTAAGTTTCAAGTGCAAATAAAAAATAAAAAAATTTTTTACACACACAATGCAAAATTGCAGCACACACATGACACAAAAATAACTTTATTTAAATATGATGTAAACTAAATTGAATTAGACTACTAATTGAAACAATACATTTTTAGCTTAAATCAAACTTATGCAATACACTGATTAGTTACCTTAAAGCCCAATTTAAATAAATGTGTCTAAAAAAACTTAGTAGAGTTCTATAATAAAATCATACCTCAGCCAAAAGATTTAGATCTCCATCTGTAACTAGACATGCAATTTCAATGATCTTATCTTTTTCAACATCAAGTCCGGTCATCTGTAATAATTGGTTCAATAAAATCAAATACATTCAAATAGCAAGTTTAATTTAAGGATTTTATTGGTAAGAAATAAAAATCAAACGAAAAGAACAGTAAAGCGACTCATTACGCTTAGCGTCACTAAAATGAAAATAAGGAGCGTTAAAAGGAGAATAAATAAATGAAGGACTGCTTTCAAGCTGAGTGAAGGAAATAGCAGAACGAGGTACTTGGAACCTTGAAATAGAAAGACAGGACAATACAAGAAGAACGTTTCGGCTAAGAGTCTTCCTCAGCAGACAGGACACATGAAGAAATTACAAGAAATATAAAGTATTTATAAAATTTGAATTCAAAGGAGGCATGAAATATTGCTATTGTTTTTAATAATTAAAAAAGTGGCTTGTTTATGCAACTTATAAATATATACTGGTATATGATATAATTTATTAGAATAAGGAAGAATGCATTTTTTGTAAGACTCTTAATGGTGACTGGAATTTAGTAGATAAATATAGACATTTTAGATTAGTCAAATATATTTTAGAATATCCTGCTAGTTGATTCTTAATATTCAAGAGTGGGAAATGTATACATTAATTCATATTTCCTAAATATTGTTTTGATAATTATGATCATGTTCATGTAAGAAGAATTCACCCTAAACCAGGGACCATCAACCCTTTTTACAGTGGACAGCAATTTTTAAAATTTTATCTGCTAAGAAAATATTTAAGGTGCCACAGGCAGAGTATTTTAAATGGCATCATATAATAATTATAAAAAAAGAGCTGCATTTATTCATTAAAAGAGATGAATGTGGTTCTGGTGCTGAAGGTTGCCAACAATAGCCCTAGACATACAAAAAGACTTAAAAATTGACATTGGCAGTTTATTTTTACAAATAAAAACAGCAGTTTTATTGAACCAATTGAAAGAATGTGAAAGGCAGGGTCAATTAATTCTTTTAGATTCTTTGATTGGAATTTAATTATAAAATCAGCGATTTTAAGTGTGCTTTAAGATATTTAAATAAAAATTCAAAATGATTCATATTGGGCTATCTAGAAGTTATCTTCATTCATACATTTTCAGAAAAGCAAAAATATTACACTAACCTCAAGGTCAACCCATACGATTTTTTCAGACGGAATGGAGGAAGATCTTTTCTGGTCCACATCTTGAGATTTAATTGACACTTCATGGGTTGAGAAACTTTTATTTTCCAGATGTTGGGTTGTCTTTTTTCTACCGTTAGGTGATGCCATTGTTGGAAACTTCTGTTCTGTGGTATTTCTATCAAAACTCGTAAGCTGATGAGAATTACTCATCATGGTACAATGCTTAAATGAAATGTGATAATTGTTTTTTGTTGAAATGTATACCAATCTTGACTGTAATTTAAAACACTGTCTATTGGCTCTTGCCAAGAGCCTTATTGATCCTAAACAAAATGACATGATCTCATCAATCACTGTGTAAGTGTTAATTGTTTTGTTCTCATCTCTGTTTCTGTAAATATATATATATAATAAATATATATATCCTATGATAGAGGCTGATTATAAATGATAATATATTTGTTATATTAAAATTTTAATTACATAAATATGACAATTTGAGTGACTTGTATGGTCCTGTTTACACATGAAGTGTTTAGACTTTAAACTTTACAGACTTTACTAGTCTTCACTTAATTACTTAAACTCAAGTCTATTCAACTTTACTGACTAGTCCTTACTTGGCCTTTTACCCCGAGCACAATAAATTAATACAGAGGTGTAGCTAGATTGTCTGGCGCCATTAAACTCTAAAACCTACTATTTTCACTGTGTACAATCCGTGAACTTTTTCACAGTCACTAAACCTAACCTGAAATAAATGAATGTATCCTTAAACTTAAACCTAACCTAAACCCTAAATATAAATTATAATAAATGAAAATGTATCCCCGCAAATAATGGCAATGGTCAATGGTAAATAGTGAAGGAAAATGCCACTATTTTTATCAGTCGCCGCCATCGTGGCATTTTCAATGCTTATCAGCCATAATTAATTATTATAAGCTATTTATATATATTATTTAAAATTACTCTTAAGTACTTTACTTTTACTTAAAATGTTTAAAATAAGTCCCCCCCCCCCGGGCAAATTTTTTATTTAAAAAAAAAATTAAAAAGAGAGTTACAAGTTCTGCTTTGAAAAAAACAACAACATAGGCCTATGTACTACATAACTTGATAAATATATGCTTATTTTTAGGCTTATAGATTTCGAAAGAGTAAATAAGACAAGGGCTGTCTTTTAACTTTTAAACAAAGGCTAGCACTTCGAGGAAAAGGTCTACACAAACTCACGGACATAAAATCACAACAATGCGAATGCAGGTAACTGAATTGACTTCCGTTCACAAGTTCCGTTCCTCTTTAACAGGAGCTCTCCACAAGCAATAATATTGTAAGTTTTTAATTTTAGACTTACTAAAATTTTTTGCTATAATTTTTGTTGACGACATTTTGAAATTTAGTGCCTCCTAAAATGATCGAAATCATAAAATAAGTCTGATATATATAAATTATAAAGTATCAAGTCATGCTTTGTTTCATCAGGATATTTTCGGTTTGTGTTTTGATGTCACGTTTTATGTGTTTTTGCACTGAATTTGAACAAGCGCTGATTTATTTTTGCGAAGGAAGCGTATCCAAACCAGACTAACATTTAATACCATAACTAGCTAGCATCAAGTTGACAACATAAGAACCTTTTTGAGAGCTGTCTGGGAAAATCAACACCCAGGGCCATATCCCTTTTGTAAGAGTAGAGACATGTCTGAATGGTCATCGAGTAGCATCGCCGTTCGTCCCCGCTCCGGGCGGCACCGTGGTGCCTCCATGTTCTGACTAAAATGATGTGCAAGTTGTGTCTTGGTGAATTCCCAACGGAACACAAACAACACGCGCCATTTCATTAAACCTCTTTAGAATCCCAAAGACTTTCCTTGGACCACCCGGATCCATGCATTTTCCCATTGCCCGAAATGCGTCTCTTCCACCCTACGCAATCTCAGGAAAAAATCTGTCAAAAACATTTCACAACATCCTTCATTATTACCGACACCTCACCACTTATGACAACTAACGTTGTATTACTGCAATAAGGATTCCCCGATTGGATCTTGTCCGGCCCGCCCGCTCTCATTGCGCACCGTGATACGATCTGCTTTCTCCGTCGTGCGCGTGATCACGTTCGCATAATATTTCATATGCACACAAAACAACACATTTTAAAACTAGCATTGTTTCAGTACACGTAAATACCCTACTAAAATGGCACCACTAACCTTCAATACCCAACGAAAACAACATCATTTTACCCGTCCCTACCCATTCTAAATAGAGTCAAAACGATTAAGCAGTGCTGGATATATAGATCGCCATCTAAAATTATTAATACCGGTATATATAGATTATGCACTTTTTCCGTATTTTAATCGCGTAATGTGGTTGCGTTGCCCCAGCTGGTTTACATATAAGTTTTTTAAAGCATGTAATAAATAAAGGTTAAATTTCACATATCACAAATTGGTGTAGACACTTCTATCTTTCAATTACGTTGGGTTATCGTTTTGAAGTCGACATCATAATAACTTTAAACAAGAAAAATAAAAACTTTGTGATCTCTCCGAATTGATTTCTCAGTTCTTAAGTAGATTTGATGCGTATTATTTTTATGTTTTTCGTTTACATATTGTATATAAAATTTTTTTTAAAAAAGTGGGGGGTTAGGGGGGGGGGGGGGGGGTACGGAAGGGGAGGTCCACCCCTGACAGCGCTTTTTTCTTTCTATGGAGGGATGGCGTTTTCAACTGAATGCAGAATACTGTTGATGTATCTTAAAAGTTACGTATAAAAAAAATACATGTTGGAAACCGGTTAATATGACGTATCATAGTTTTTAGAATGAAATACAAAGCCCGAATAGGTAGGAAAAATATTGACTAACATTTTTATAATAAGTGATAGAACTATAATCTTGACGTCTAAATAAAGCTGAAAGCCGGCTCTTACCACTGGAATACTATTTGTGCATGAGTGCATGTCTCAAGTATTTGAACATTTGAGCCAGTCACCTTCATACTCTCCGTCAACTGAAGTGGTTGGAACATGGTGAACTTTTGAGCATCTGTTACACGTTTTCACTGTTCATATTGAAGCCAAAAAAAAAAAAATAAAAAAATAAAAATAAAAAAAATAATAAATTTGCACGCAAGCTTTAAATCAAGGGTGTCCAAAATTGATTACAAGATAGAAAGGAAATTAATTGAAATTCTCTTCCCCTGCCCCCCCCCCCC